AAAAAAAAAAAAAAGAAAACGCGATGATTCCCCTGCGACGAGGCACAATGCGAAATCGACGACGATTCCCATCGAATCGAATACGGGAAAGCTTTAATTTACAATTCGTCGCGAAAATCTCGTTGCTTGCCTTCCACTCGACGCGTTCGACGCGTTTTCGTTCCAAAGATATTTTGCTTCGAAATGCCTGTTCAAACGCAACGAGATTCACGCGATTTTCCCCGTGACACATCGCGCGAATTCCGCCATTGTTTTCACCACTTTCGCTCCGAGTTTAAGCGAACCTTTCGAGCACTTTCGCGCGATTGTGCGCCGGCCAAGTATTATTCCCGCCACCATCGACCGTGTTTTGGCACGGGAACGCAACGTTTCTTCGTACAGATAGCATTCGTAACGGGGAGGAACTCCAGAGAGATGTTGCTCTCGCGCGTGGAGGCGGGAAGATGAGGAAGAGAGGAATATTTGATCGCGAGACAATAAGCATAGGTTTCACTCTGGAGAGATAAAAGTACGAATATAAATCTTAAATGTACAGGATGGTAATTCGAGATCGAGAAGATTTTTTTCACGACTCGAAACGAAACGAAAATATGGAATGAAAGTTTTCCATACTTAGAGGCTTCGTTCTCTAGTTTAGAAAATCGTTTGAAATTAATTTACAAATTTGTAAAGTTGAGTCACTTTGTGAAAATGGTATAAAATTTTCAAATTCCTTCAATTTCTCTCCCATCTTCGTACCGTGAATCGCACTGTCCTGTACAAATGAAATATCTCTTCTTTACTCTACGTTTAAAACATTCGTTAATTTCCTCCCTCCCGATCTTCATTCGCTCTCTTCGAATTTTATATATATATATATATATATATATATATCCACTGTTTTCATCCTCTCGCTTATCATCTTATCTTCCTTTTCAGGAATTCGCGTTTACAAGGATGTGGAAGAGAAGGGAGAGAATCCACAGGGGCGTACGAGGTCACGGAGGAGACGAGTTAAACAGCATCCAACATCCTTCTCTCCTCCTCCGCATATATGCGCGCCGAGGCTATTTTCCCTCGGAATGCATCGAGCGGCAAATGTTCTCCTTTTCTTGCTCCAGTATGGGGGACGATTGTTCAGCACGGCGAAAATTCGGCGATTCCCCGAAGGTAGCGCGGGAAATTCAATTTGCTCGCGTATCACGTCTCCCCGCCCGATTTATCGCCCGTTTCTGAATGAATTCTGAGTGGAACGAGCGAGACCGAGTTGCGAGGCGCGTGCCGCCTAGAATTAACGTCACGCGACAACCACGTTTTCTCGCCTCTCTACAGTATTGCGTGTACTACTTCCTTTCCTTCTGAAAACTTATTTTTAAGTAAACGTTCTACCAATGTGTGGCGATGCGGGTATAACACGATGATATCTATTTGTTTTTAGGATTATTAGAGGGGGTATATTATTATATTTTATATTATTATTATATATTATATATTATATTATTATATATTATATTATTATATTTTTTTTATTCTTTTTCTAAAATTAATTACTTTAATTGTGTTTAATTATATATATATATTTTAATCCATGTACAGGTATGGATAATTAAAAAAGATAGATNGTGTTTAATTATATATATATTTTAATCCATGTACAGGTATGGATAATTAAAAAAGATAGATTTACAGGTAAGGAATGAATGAATGAATGTTTGAGAAAATGTAAGAGACTTAATATCTATGAGACAAGAAGCTTTTTATATCATTGCAATGGAAATCGAATCAATATTTATTAACGATTATCTAATTTCTTCAATTAAAATCCGACTGATGTGTAAATAAGAGGATACAAGTAGCATTTTAAATCAGACAGGATTATTTCAGATTTTATAAATTTCAATCTCCCCTAGTTTCAGTCGACTAAAATATTCAACCGTGTCAAACCTTCCCACAAAATTACCATCCCAGTCGAGAGACGTATTCTTCTTCGCGAAAAGCGGCCATCCAGCCTTTAATCTTTCATCTCTGAAACGTTCGACTACAAAGATCGATCCACTGATGATCTCGACATCGCGCCGCATTTCCTCCTCCCCGCCAATGACACCAAGAAACGTGGGAATTTTATTAGGTATGCAAATAACTCCTCTTTCTCTCTCTCCCCCCTTTTTTTCCAAATTCAAGATTTTATTGTACAAATCTAAAATTATTAAAGATCGTTTCTGCGCCTGAACGATCGCCGTCTCCCAAATTAAAATTTGCTTTGAATCTTTGCTACCAATTTTTTACCATTTCAGTATCTTCAACAGCCGATTCCCTAAACTGGAATGACGCTTCTCGAATTGTTGCAGAAAACAATCAACCTCAGAGCGCCCTCAGACTCTTCTTAAAAACAAAAGAACGCCCTTTCGGATGGCGCCACGAAATAATTCAAATTCAGAAGTTACGCTCGTAGAAAGAAAGGGGGGAGCAATTTATTTATAACGCCTGATAATAATAGAAAAAGAAGAGAGAGAGAGAGAGAGAGAGAGCAATAGTTGGAATGGTACGGTAGTCCATCGAACAGGAGCGTTGTAAGCGGGGGCTTAGAGTGGATGCGGAATCAGCCTAATCACCCGGAAGTGTCGCCACTGTTCACCGCTAATCCGATCGCAGATGTTTCCCTCTCGATTCAACCCTCTATCCTCCCATTCGCTCTTTCTCGCCCCTTCTCCCTGCTATACTCCCCTTCCCCCATCTCTCTCTCTCTCTCTCTCTCTCTCTCTCTCTCCCTCTCCATCTTCGATCTCCCCGCCTCTCTCGCTCCCACTGCTCACCATGATCCCGACCGCAGTGTTTGTTTGCGGCTGCGTTAGCGAATCCTAATCGCGGTTGGTCCGTTTTCGCCCTAAATCTGCCACTGCGTGAGACCGGACCGCTTCGAATCGAATAAAACGGGCTACCGTGCACGGGCAAGGTTTAATCTTCCCGCCAGGAAGGGAGGAGGGATGCGTATTCACAGTTGACAAGATCACGATTCTCTTCACCGAGGGTAGGTTGATATAGCGGCCGCTCTGTTGAAACTTTCACGCTCGACGTTGGTCGATCGAGAGACGCGAATACACGATCTCTCTCTCTCTCTCTCTCTCTCTCTCTCTCTCTCGTGAAAGATGAGACGTTTGCTTGGATGTTGGTTGCAAATTGGTTGGTATTGGATATCGACGAGACGTCGAAAACGTGAAGGTAAGATTTCGATGGATTTATGTTAATTTGTTTAAATGGCAAGGATCAGATCGATCATTTTTGTTATTTTTCTTTTCTCTTTTCTTTTTCTCAATTCGATTCGATTAGATCGGAATATTAGGAAGGAAATGAAGTAAATCGCAGGATATCGCTTTTGTTATTTTTGTTTTCCTTTTTTCCGATACAATTCGATTCGATTAGATTACAAGGGAATATTGTATTATAGGAAGAAATAATAGAGAGAATAAATAAGAATCGTTGTCGCGTCGAAAATTATTCCGGCATCCCCGCCGGTAAACATAGGAAAGGAAAGAACACATGAGGGATTTGCTTCGCGCGCGATGAAGTTTCGAACGTTCGGAGACGTGGAGAGGAGAGGAAAAGGAGGGGGGAAAAGTAAATGAGCGGGAAAGAGAGAGAGAGAGAGAAGAAAAATAGAAGAAAGCGAAGAAAAAGAGAGAAAAAAGTGGGGGGAGGAGGGAAAAAATGGAGGAAGGAAAATCCAACAACGTTGGTACGTGTTCATACGCGTAGAAAGAAGGAAAAGGATTGCTATTTTCAAGCCGGGAGGGAGGGAGCAGGAGAAAAATATTTTTGAAGCGAAGAACGCCCGCGTTGGTAAGAGAGCCACTCTAATTAGCTTGGTATACGGGGTGGCTTTTTGTTTAATTAACACGCCTGTAGTAAACCACCCTTGTACCGGAGTCCTTCCCATCCTCCTCTCTCTCTCTCTCTCTTCCTCTCCCTCTCCCTCTCCTTCTCTGTGTGTGCCGACACTTTATATTTTTTTTTTCTACCCCTCGCCCTACCCTTCTCCCCTCTTTGCTTTCCAGACCGTACGTTCCCTTCGTTCACCCTCCGTGATACATTCGATAGGTATTTGTTTGCTTCAAAATCAAGGGTATCGGATTTAAAGAGCGGCGGTGGGTGCGTGAAAAAAAAGGAGAGGCACAACTTTTTTAACATGCCGTTCCTCCTCGTCTTTCTCTCTCTCTCCCTCTCTTTCTCCTCGCTTTTTCCAATATTTCTTTTTTCCTTTATTTCCTTCTTCGTTTTTTTTTTCAATTTTCCTCCTCTCTCTTTTCTTTCTTTTGTTGCCCCTCCTTTCTCTCCACAACGTTCGTTCGCCAACCAACTTCGTTCCGCTCGTCGGTTATTCTTTTCAACCGGGAGGAATCCGGACGAGAATCGCGGCCACCGGTGGCTTTAGCTCGCGGCCATCGAGTAATCTTATATCCCTCCCGATATATATATATATATATCTTGCGATTCTTTGTCCGCGCCGTGCGAATGAATAATAAAATAATGGCGATGGCTCGTCGACAGCTGTTTGGCCTCGATGCGACATTGCACCGTTCCACGATGATCCACTCTGCGTTTCATCCGTCGAATATGCGCGGTAATTGCGCTCGATTCGAAGACAAATACTCCTCGCGATTGGAACACGATGAATTACGAAGGATGATCGAGCTGGAAACACTGTGTCTCGCTAACGAACGCGTTTCATCGGATACCACATTCGGCTTCCTTTGTTATCCAAGACACGTGCCCTCCTCTAGAAGTCGCGTTAATTCTTCCAACTCTCGAGCGAAGAACACGCGCATTCGATTGAAAAATTTATTTTGAAGTTCAGTTGGAACTGTGTTGATTCTTTCCGATTTCAATTGTTGCACGTTCGAAAAATAATTGCACGAAAAAGGTTGCAACTTTACAACAATTTTTAACGTTTCGTGATATAATAATAACCGAGAAGAATCGAGATGTCGAAACGAGAGATCGATGAGCGAATGAGCACATGTGTGCTTGGGGAAGAAAAATATATTTTCGTTAATTGGGACTCACTCGCTAGGCCGAGACGAGTTTCGTACCCGCTTCAGGGATTCGGTTCGTACGTAGGTGGACGTTAGATGCAGGTGGCGCGGCGTATTTATAACCCCTTCGTGACTCCTCTTCCTCTTCCAACGATACCTCGTGCAACTCGTCTGCTCCTCTTGCCTCGCACTCGCGTTCGTTTGGCCGACTGGCGTCGTGGCGTCGTTTTCTTCTCGCCGGTTCTTAGCGTCGTCGTTTACGGGGAAAGGGATTTTTTGCATTTTCGAAGAGGAAGATTTCGCGACTTTCGTGGATTTCCTCTGATTGTTCAAAGAGTCGGTAAACGAGGAGGATAAGTAGGATTACTGTTAAGTAAGGTCTTGCATTTCGCAGAATTTATTTCGTAATTGAACCGTGTAGATTCGTCGGATACGTGGTTGTCTCATTTTTGGATATTTTTGGAGATTTGCGATTATCGATAGATTTATTTCGGATATTCTGTTCTCCGATATAATACGTAATGAGTTAACAGATTTACGTGCATTTCTCCGACATTTGAAAAATAGTGGATATGTATTGTAATTCGATTGAAATGTCGGTCAAACGCCGCGTTATAGATAACAAAATATCAAAATATCATGGCGATCGATACGCCAATACAACAAATTCTATCTAATTTCATTCGTATAATAATAATAAATCTATCTATTTTCTACAATTTCTACAATTCCTAAAAATTGCCGATCTCGATATAATTCAATCTACCCAGATTCCTTAAAAAGAGAAATAGCCGGCAATTATCGAAATTGAGACTTTCCACTTCCGCTTCGTTTCGAAATACGCAACGTTTCCTCCATTACATCCCGAATTTTAACCAACTTCGTGGAAACTCTTCAAAATCCTCCTCCTAAAAAACAGGTCGAAATCAACCCCCAAAGATTCTTCGTCGCTGTATAATACGTAAATAACACTTGATTTGAGAGACCCCTCTCGAACGTTTCGAAACGAAAAACACAAACACGGGAAGCAAAGACGAGAACAATCAACGTTCCCTCCTCGTGCTACTCATAACTGGCACGCGTCACAAAGACGCTACTTGGCCAAAATCATGCAACGAGATCTCGCGGCTCCGCTAATCCCGTCGCGTCCCGCGCGCGGTTTCCTTAACGAGCGCCGCGTATTTAGCTTTAGGGGAGGGAGGTGTTACGGTTCAGGTCAACACTTTTACGCGGGCATCAGATAACGGCGCGGCTGGCTTGGAGCGCGGAGCCAAGCCTCTGTCGTTAAACGGTTAAAGTGTTGTCCAAACTCGGCGAAACTCGTTTGCTCGAGCAGCAGCCGCCGCTATCTTCTTCGCGGGATCTTCCTCCTCTTTGTCCCTTTTGTGCGTCCCTTCTTGCTCTCCCTCT